CAACGCAACCGTGCAAGGTGGGTTGGGAAGATGGTCCTTCAGAGTGGCAGCCAGGCGCAGGAGCGACCGAATGCGAATCGTGCAGGTGCTAGGACAAGGAACGTTTGAGGCGTTCAGGGACATTCCTAGTGCGTGTTCTGCCTGACGACTTACGGCTGCCTTTACGTGTGAAGATGCTACGAAGGAGTCCGAGACACAAGCTTTGGCGGAAGGCCACGCTGACTTCGTGAGATGTGTTTGTTGAGGTTGTCGTTGCTTCTGGCTTCCTCCTTAGCTCGGGCTCGGCGTTGCAATGGAAGTTTACCAGGAAGCTCGCGGGACGCCGCAGAATTTTCAACTGCAGCCGCGGAAGCTAACAACTTGCAGTGCCGTGCAGGCCAGCTGATGCCAGGCTCGCCGCGAGCCACAGGCTGGGCATCTGCCAAGCTCACGCATTCCGCCATCTTCCACCGTCCCACCTCCCCGTAACACACCGTCTAACATCAGGTAGCCAGACAGCTGCATCGACCTCAGTACGTGTCTCGATGGAGCTCCCAGGCTGAAGTTAAACAGTTAAGAGCGTGTCACACCTCTGTAGCATGCTCTTCCTCTGTGGTATCCTCTGTATCATCCCTTGACATCCCTTGCGTCCGCAGCTGTCCAGGCATTTTCCTTCCCCGCGAGCATCAGCACACTTGTCGCTTCCCGCCTTCCCTGATCCTGGCATCTTTGGATGCACATTGCATGTGCAGCATGATGTGCATCCACTGCGCAAGCCCCAGCACTCAGCGTGTAGCTTTCCCCGAGGCATTTCGGAAGATAGCTCGTCCACTGCAGGCTCCGTCAAGCAAAGTGTTGCGACAATGCGGGGGCATCCAAGCGTTGCCTGAGACGGCGAAAGATGTTCAGGGGTGTCTAATTTCAGTCAGCCAGTCATTTTGTCTGGCTTTAGCCGCTTCTCGTGATCGAGGAGGCTCTTGCACGGAGAAGAAGCAGAGTGCCCGTGCTCGAGCCATCGCACCTCGGACCCCAAACAGATGTTGCCAAGCGTGCCCGACGACTCAACATGCCAAGCTCACAACACGTACAAGAATGCTCCAACTAGTGTGGAGCTGAGGCACAGTCTGCACGGCGCTGGCTGCCTGTCTGCCTGTCGACATAGACGACAGAACCATACTAAGCAATTACTGGACTTGTGAATTTCTTTTGTTGACAGACCTTGTTAAGGAAGCATCGCGACAGTCCGGAGTCTAATTCAACTGTCAGGAACACGGTATGTCATGGGCCAGGAGTCTTGCAACCGAACCCTTTCCAACTTTTGCCAGTTAGAGTCGGTCCCGGAGCCCAGGCTGTGCCAGAGTTGCTGGAGTAGTCTTGCAGGCATGTCAGCCGGCCTTGCATCTCGGCACTCGTTTTCAGATGTGGGACAATCGAGGGAGCTTTCTTGAAACATTGGGTAACTTCCACTAGTCATGCTGCAACCGCCGACGCGCGATGACACCCGTTGGCGTTGCAGGATATCCTATTCCGAGGTTGTTTTATCCATCGCCTTGGTCCAGACGATCATATTTCTTTTCATTTTCATCTTCGCTGCTTGAATGCACAATGGGCGAAGTGAAGGAGGGCCTGTTCGAAGTATTGCCTTGTTGGCAGACCATACTCTCAGGACCTCGTGTTCATCGAGCTACTTGGCCAAAGAAGCGGGAGTGTTGCCCAACGCTCGGCTCCGAGAAGAGCAAGAGAACACTTGAACACCGTAGACACGCATGCGCATGCACACGCCAACGCCCACGCCCACGCCCACGCCCACGCCCACGCCCATAAGAATAGTAACAGCTTCAGATACAGAAGTCCTGAAAGAAACGTACAGTACGAATTATGCCAGCCCGAAGCATGCACGTCCATCACGAAGTGCGAATCCTCCAGGATGGACCTGTCCAAAGAGCCTGCAAGGCAAGAAAGGGACTGAGGCAAGAGAGCAAGTTGGCACAATGATGCAATAGTTTTGCTTACAATGTCCGTGCACTGCGAGATCAAGAATGCATAGGCCCATCGCGCACTGTTAGTATGAGACGCGCATGCTCGAGAGCCGTGGAACCCGGCCACGTGCCGGAGCATCGCAATCGCATTCGTCGTGAAATTTGTTGTGGAGAAGTATCAAGCACAAGCGAGCGGCCAGAACTCTAGTAGCTCGAGTATGTTCCCTAGTTCCAGCAGATGCTGCACAAGCCCGACCCTGTGCCTGACTGCCTTGCTTGCAGCAAGCAAGACTAGGACTGTGACCCTTGCCCCCAAGGAAGTATGCCAGCTCCAGCTTATCTCGGCACTTCATGCTGGCAGCTGACTCGTGGCGCACGGGTGAGTTCCAACGCTGCGCGTTTGGTGATCCGACTCGTCACAGCCCTTTGAAGCCCCTGGAACCGCCTGAATACTTCTTAAACCCAAGGAGGACGCAACGTGCCTGAACAGCCAGCGACTGCCAGCTCTCGCGAACAACATGCTCCCGTCCGAGTGTGCTCGCGAGGTGGTCAGGCCCCTTCCATGGAAAGCCTTCGACGCTTTACTGTAGCATCCGTGGTGTGTGTGTGTGTGTACATGTTTACCAGCGCAATGGATATACGGAACTTTTTACTGCACTGTACCTGGCAGAATCTCAAGCAGAACCCCTAGGTGTGCTTCAGGTCATTGTGATATGGCATTCTTTCTTGCGTGTAGCTCGTATAGCATCTGCATATTGTAGTATACGATCAAGAATGGCCACGGGCCCTGGCTCGCAGGTCTACATCTCTGGCAGCTTTCAGCATGGGCCCGCCGAACGCCGCCGGGCTTCGCAGTTGCTACCCGCAGGACGGCCCACAACGCATTGAATGGCAATGACTCGATGTGCATGCTTGGCAGTTGCACAGGATGGACTTGAGGAGGCGTCCTACACCGAACCTCCGCAGAGAAAAGAGATGAGCTCGTTGTTGACTTGCCTTCAATACCTGAGTTGTAGCGGCTGCAAGCTCTTAGTAACCTGGGATGAAGTTGTGGGAAGCTGATGACGGGCTTGGCTGGGTGTGATGCCTTGGGAGCTCAGGAGGTTTTCTATGGCCAGGACGAGGATCTGTGCCGCTGGATGCGGAATCCTGGCTTTGACTTCTTCGTTATCGAGAGGCAGCAGCCCTGCATCTTGGCATAGATAGGCAAGGACAGATTCTGACTTTCCCCTACTGAGATTAGCCTACAAGTGATCTCTTGTCTCCCACTGCTCCTTGTTCTGCACATCAATCGGTGCGCACGGAGTACTTGCAACAAAGCAGGCTGAGCAAATCTCATATGTGCTGCTTGTTCAACACACAGTTCAATGACCGATTGCTGAGAGTCGGGATTCACAAAGCATTGTTGCCGCCTGTTTTTGCCGGCAGCGAGGTCGGGATTTGCGTATGGAGTGTTATGGTAGTTTTGCAGTGGTAAAGACCTGCCGAAACCGCCAGCATCTACATGGCGAGCAGCCTGTAGAACATGGTGAAAGAGCTGTCAGGTACACAAGACGCATGTTTCTGAAGCACATGTATACTGTTTGGCCGCTGATCCTTTCTTTTTCTCTCCTGAGAAGCGCCCACAATGGTGTACATTCTTGCGGACTGATCTGTGGTAACTCGCGTAGCACGAGAGTGCAGGTCCACATACTTGTACAGTATATTGTACAGTCATGAGTAGTGAGAGCCTTATGGGTGACTCTCGCGTTCGAGGCAGTATTTTGGGGCGTGGCACGTCGCTCATCATCAGCAATGCCACGGCATTCTCCCACCGTGTTTCGGATGATTTGCCGCAGGCCCCATGTCTGAGCAGCGTTTCAGGCAGAATTCGCGATCGGCGACATCCCAGAATCGCGGACCGTGTGCAATTTTGTCTTTGAGCTACCGCGTCGCGTTCCTGAGTTCGTTGCTGCATAGTCACGCAGTCCCGGTGCTTCGAGGCTCTTTCGTCTCGTTGCAGTTTCTGCAGCGGCTTGGCGGCTTTCAAGATCATCTACATAAGTCCTTCATTGAACGGATGTAATTCTAGCCATAAGACTTAGAACGCCGAATCTTTACCAGCAAGTTGAATATGCCAGTCAAGCTCTGTCTCTGTTGGTCGTTTTTTCAATGGCTTTACGTTGCATAAAGCTTCGGTCAATGATTCAGATGACACGGATATTTTGTCGATTATGTTTCAAGCTCAAGCCAGAACAGCTGAAAATAGGATGAAGTTCTCCACGAGGTGATGTCGTGAGTGCTGCGGTGGATTGGGCACGGAAGATGCTCCAGGTTGACGTGTTGGCTGATGCCTCAGGTTGACATTTAGGCCTTGCAGGGCTTAGGGAGCTTAAGGAGATGCTGCCGGTGGTTAGTGACTGCTGCCTTCGGCTTTACATTGTAAGTTTCGGTACACATCCCGAGCCCTTGAAACCGATGGCGACTCACGCACCCTGAGGATTATCGGCTCCCAGCCAAGAACCTTCCAGTGTTTTAAGTGCTGTGTGACGAAAAGTTGTCTGCAGACAAATGTTTGGGTGATTTTGGGGATCGCCGGGGCTGAGTTTCAAAGCTTAGCTGGGCTGCAACAAGGAGTTGGGAACCCTATCACCCCTCGAGCCCCGAAAGCCTGTAGCTTCGATCAGGTCCACCGGGCCCTAATGTTGACCTCACCGGGCCTTCGTCGCATCGCTGCTGCTTCAATGGTGACTGGGTTTTTTAAGGGTTTCAGGATTCAGCTAGGTCTTTACAAGCTTAAGGGATCAGAGGTTTCGCCTGGCCAACTTGCGCTCAGTGCACTCAAAGCCGGAGGTTCGGGGCAAGGTTTGGCAGCAGAAAGGTTTCCCAGGATCAGTGCATGTTGATGCAGGATGTTCCGACACTGCGTCGTAGTTACAGTAAAGACTCTGACGGCTTGGTTTGCCAGAGGCATTGGGATCTGCTTGCGCTGTGCTGCTCCTGACTGTGTTTGTCGCAGCCTTAGAGTGCGAAATTCTGCCGAATGTCATCAAAGACTTAGCCATGTGTCCCACATGTGGCCTACGAATCCATGAGGATGCCTTCACCTTCCTGTCCCTGGCCCTGGAGACGCTGAGACTGCGCAGCATGGGCCTTTTGGCTGGACCTGGGCCATCAGACTTCACCAGACTTCACCACTTCATCGGACCAGCCTTCTTAGCTTGTTTTCCGATCTTGTCACCTTGGGTGTCGCAGTGACTACCAGCTGGACCAGCTTCATGAAGGCGATGGGTTACTGGCCGGCTTCGGTTTCTTAGGTTTCTTGTCCCCGAACAAGAACAAAGACTTTCGATGTGGGGGCATGCTGAGGCTTTGTCGGATCTCCTCTCCGCTTTGCCGTGGTTGCAGCTACGGGCCAGGCGCCACTGGTGTTTTTCTGCATGAAAGTTCTAGTGCCTTGATGCTGTAAACACCATTCTGCCGGAAGGTTAGGGAATTAATTAGCTAGGCGCTTTCAGCGCGGGCTTCTGGTGGTAGCATGGTCGGTATACACCCTGAGCCCCCACCTGCCCGGAGCCTGAGGACCAAAGTCTTGCGCAACCCCTGGCAAGGTTTCTGAGCAGCTGCTCATTCTGGTCTTGCACGCCTTGATCATGGCCGGCATGTCCTTCCAGCTGGAGCTTGCCAATGACCTTTGTTTGAAGTCACCTTTGTGCGGCCTTATTTCCAGTGCCCCATACAAGCAGCGTCAGTTATCCTCTTTCCCAGCATGCAAGGATTTTTGGCCCGAGCTGCACTGTACCCGCAGCGCGGAATCGTCTGAGAAACTTGGCTTGCAACGCGCAGTGGCAACTGCTGTCAACGCTTCGACTGCTGTGACCGTGTCGCCCGAGCGTCGACCAGCTCGTTCCTCATCAGGACGGCCCCGAATGTGTGGCATGAGATGGCTCGCTGGACGGGAACCGCCTTGGTGTTCTTCGAATCTAGCGCCTGCATTGTGGATGTGCGCGGAACTCTAAGTATTATTGTGGTCCAGCTTGCTTTTCTTGGAGCTGCCCCGTGGAGTGTCACGCAGTCTGCCCTGCTGCGCCGACAACATGTGTGAAAGATTTACGGAAATATAAGGCTGCCGGCGTTTCCATCTTCTTCGCTCTTGGCATTTTGGGCGGCTACGTGTACCGATTTCATGGCCTGCTGCCTGCTCGCCCCCTGGGTGCATGGCAAGCAGCTAGGGTCAGGGAACCTAGGCCTAGTCTTTCGCTTCAGGGCTGGTCGTTGCTTGGCTGATGGAATCTGGATTGCTAACGGCTTAGTTAAACAGTTCAGAGCCAAGTCTATGTCAGAATTGACAGAGTCATTCGCCTGGCCAGGCAAGGGGTGCGGGTGCTGTGTTCCTCCTGCAGGCTGGGCGACATCCCTGTACAAGCCGGACGTGAGGATGACTCGATTTGCTGCAGCACCGCAGTCCATGTCCGATTATAGGCTGGGCCATGGCGCACAAGGAAGCAGCAAAACTGGTTGTTCCAGCCTGTTCATGGCAGGCACGAATTCCTACCAGTGGATGTCATGGCGACCGAAACCTTGAGGCCTGACCTAGGGAATATGCTGCATAGCTATGCGTAGCCAATCCGGCCGCTGAGCCCTTGGACATTACCATATCTTGGCAACGTTCAAGCTGAACTTGCTGCTTGCTCTCCCGCCCTATCCTAAGGGCCCCCGCAATTGGCAATTGGCATTGTCCTTTCGGGCTCACAAAGTACTTCTGCGCATGTGCGCTATTTCAGTCGGGATTTGAAAGGTTGTGTTTTTGTTGTCATTTCGGTTTTTAGCACAGCGCGGGTTCAAAAAGAGAAGAATCGTAGTTCTAGTTGATTTTGGATTGCTATAACTGTGTCGTTATTTGCCTTATTTGTGTATTCGTGCTGTTGTTGCTCCGTATTTGCGTGCTATTGATTAGCGGGATATGCATTGCTTGTATTATTTGTTGCTTCGTTTTGTTGCTTTCAATGGCATGTTTCGTTTGGTGTTAAATGGTTCTGTTTGCTTAAGTAGCGCGGCCGACCCAATCTGTCATGACAAAAACTCAAATACCCTCGCTGGACCCCCGATGCCGTGGGGCTGAGCTCTTGCTCTCATGGACCCTAAGCCCCCGCCTTTTGACGCATTGGCCAAGTCTTTCGCTCCTCCGACCTGGCCTCGGCATCGCTGCATCTATGGGCCACTTGATCCGAACAAAGGTCCGACCTTTTGTGCTTACCTTCTCACGGCGGGTCACAGGATTCGCCATCTTTCATGGTGAAGCTGAACGCTCTTTGTAACTACTGATCCTGTAGTGGTTCTGACATGTTGAACAAGACGCAAGACTGGCTCAAGGCTCCTTGCTGTCGTCCTTAACTGCGGCTTCAAGACAATGCAATAGTCACAGCAACGCCTTGCGGCAGTCTCTGCAGGCTTGGCATGCAAACTTGTTCGAGGGATTCGTCAATGCTCAACCGGAGATCTTTGTTGCCGTGGATTTTTTTGCCATCGCTGAGGTTTCTGGCACCAGAAGATGAGTTACGCATTCCAGGCCAAATCGAAGTCTCACGTGGGCGCTTCTGCTTTTGGGTTTGGACAGGTTGTACAGGGTTCCAACATTAAGGGGTAAGGTTGAGGTGGCAGCGCGGCGCCCGCAGAGGTTCTGCACGGGCACGACTGCGGGTGAGGGTGTCGCGGTTTTCATTGACTACACCAAGGCTTCGCCAAGGCTTCACATCGCCCGACGTGGGGCAACTCACGCTCTCGCCTAGGTGCTGTGCTCATTCCGTGGCCCAAATCGATCCACATGGTGCTCTTGCATCGTTTGAAAATGTTTTAGGCATGTGCTTTCCTCGCGGTTCTCGTTGTGCATCCGTTCTAGGGCGCATTCTTGGTGGTGTTCCGAATGAGTCCAGTGTGCTCCGAAGTAAAGAACCGTCGCTTTGTTGGCCTTTGAATCGGGCCCTTGATACGCCAATGTAGTACGCGAGTGATGTTCGGCAGGCGAGACATGAGATAACAGGACCCAGGAGTTGAAGGAAGACTGGAAGACAGTCGCACAGGACCGCCGGCGATGGGAGGCATTGCTGCAGAGGTGGTTGGAGGTGAGTGCTTGAAATTCCCGCTTCGGCGGAAGAGCGCATTCTTGTCAGAACATCTTCGTCCCCAGGTCGCGGGAAATCGCGATTTGGAAGTCAGCAACTGTATCCCGCTTCCGTGTGTTTGCCACAGTGTGCCTTACGGTGGCCACCGAAGGCGTCTCTGCGAGACGGAGCTTGGAGCTGCCTTGCCTGTGAGAGAGAGAGAGAGGCATCCTCGGAGATTTCAATGCCATATTGCCGGAGCGATTGCCGCACGAACAGCACGTAACGGCCAGGCACATTTGTAGACAGCAGCGCAGGACCTTTCACAGAACCAAGTAGACAATCCACAGCGCTTGTTTGCGCTTTGCCTGGAGGATACCCTCCTCCCTATGCAAGCATGGTTCGACAAACTGATAGCTAGACTAGCGGCGTTCCGAGCTTAACCATGATCGTGTCGATGTCAAGTAGTTTGGACAACAAGCAATTTTGCTTTATCAGGTACCCTGGTGAGATTCTCGCACGCTTGGTTATTGCAACAGTGCAGAATACCCAGACATATTCTGAGAACAAACGCTGATTATCCTCTCCGTCAGCTGATCTTTGAACAATCCCCGAACTTATCCCCGAACCGCACACATTGGAAGAGCCCGTAGGCGAGAGCAAGCAAACTAGGAACATTTAACTTTCATGCGCCCATGTGCGCAGAGAGCAGAGATGAACATAGTTCCCGCCGATGCGTCATCCGAAGCTTCGTCACCGAAATCCTCGTCACCGAAAGCTTCGTCGCCGAAAGCCCCACAATGTAAAGAACAGAATCTAGTTGATCGATAGCCTATGCATCTCAATTTTTACAATCCTTCCGCGACTAGAAGCCCTCCTGACATAAGCAACATGAGTGCGCTGCCATCATTTCCGCAGTAATACCATACAAACACAGATTCTAATCCTTTCCTGATAGCCACGCTTGGAACACAATGACTTGTGGCAATTCGAAAGTCCCGAGGTGGGTCGAAGGCTGGAGTGGTACTTACCAGCCCTTCCAGATGACACCAAGACCACCGCATTCACCTCGGACTGCGTGAGCTGGAGACTTGGACTGATCTTGTCCACGGGCCGCTGCGGGTCTCACAATTGAAACCTGGAGCCGTTGAAGGTGTTGTCGCAATGCCTCGTTAGTTCGTGTTGAGAAATCATTGTTTTCCGGAGCTGCCTAGCTCTAAACCCACGCAGAACCACATTGCAGCTCCCAAAACAGAGAGAAAGGGCCATGGTATTCAATGAAGAGAAGTCTGAGACTGAGACCAAAGGATGACAGTGGCGCGGGCGACGGTGCACAACCTCTCCCTTGCCTGGCTGCTGCTGCCCTTTGGCGGGCTGCCAGCCCGCGCATCTCTGTATCTGAACGAACGCAACTAGTGCTGCACCAACCACGTCGGCCTGTGCTGAGACAAGTTTCCCGAACCCACCAACACTTGGTGAACGTCTTCCGGCAACATGCGGCAGCTGCAGTATAGGACATATATTGCTTACCATGGCACTCGCTTCATGGCTGGAGCTCCACTTAGGTATTCTTTGCGCAGCTGGCAATGATGGTGGCTTGCTCGCATGATGAACTTGGGGCCCGAAACCTGCTGCGGCATTTGCACAGTTCATTGCAAATCAACAAGTTGCGCGGTACCTCTTTGCTTCAAGACAATTTTTTCGACCTGCTCCTCTTGGCCAAAAGACTACTACACGTAGACGTAGGCTCGTGCTGCGTGTTTCGGAGGCGGCACTTCTGCCGACGAAGCAGATGCGCTTATGCAGCACGCTTTGGAGGACTGCACGTCATGGAGCCAATCCGCCTACACGTCTGCGCAGCGCTTGTGCTGGGCTGGAAGGATACCGGAATCGTCTTGCATGTCTCCGGATGGATGGCGGCTGTGGGCCATTTGGTCCCCCAGCTCCGCACTTATGAGTCTGGCCATTCTGGGCGTGCATGGGTCCTGTAGTTGATTCGGGGGCAAGCACATGTCCTTCGCCAAGTCTTCCCGAACGCCCCCACTCTGAAAACAGTGGGCCGGCGGACTAGTGCCTCATGACTTGTGCGCTGCTAGGAGGATGGGACAAACCCAACAAGCCAACACTTGGACCGCTGTCAATATTGCCATTCCAACCTTTGCTTAATTAAGAAAAGTAGTTAGTCTTTAGAAGCTTTAGAGTGGTATGCACAGGTGACCTTGCTCTTGCTGCTGATGGTCGACTTCCTGGCGCTGGCCCACGATCCCCGCGAGCGGCTCATTGTGGGCCTTCTGGCCACAGGCATCTCCAAGAACCTATCATTCGGATGATTCGGGGGAGTTCGGGGATGTTCAGGGCAGCTCTCCGCCATTTGGTTTACGAGTAGGTCTGAGCAGGACGATGCCAGTTTCAACGTGCCAGTGGCGAGCTTTCGTGTACTGGTGGGATAAGCCCAGCCTACGTGACAGATGCTTGTGATGCCGTCGCAAAGAATGTCAAAGCATGTCGTCAAAAATGAGTCGACGTGATGCCGAAAGATCGTCAAAGAGGATCAAGACTTTCAGCTGTCCAATCTCATGTCATGTCGCGAAGCCCAGCCTGAAGCAAGCTGCTGAAGGAGCCGTGCTTGCACTGCTGCGTGCGGGTATTTCTCAAGTCCAAGCTGCTTGGACGAACAGTGCTTTGGGCCACAGGGCGGATCAAGGTAAATTCAGCAGAACATGCTGTAAGCCGTGTGGGCGTGCGGGGCGACTGCAGACATATCAATGGGCTCTTCTTCAAGCCAAACCTTGTCACGAGCGGCAGGGCCTGGAATCCTTTCGAAGGCGGCATGGGCTTGTTTCGGACTCAGCCTGCTTTGCATTTGCGCAACACTGGTATCCGATGGCAGACCTTTTCCCTTGGCAGTGGTGAACGTGAATTGGGCCTACCCCACCCCCCTCCCCCCAACTTCACCGTACTTCCATCACGTCGGAGTGCACACCTGCACGATACGCCTGAAGTAAATCAAGCTCGGCTATCTCAACTGTCACCATCCCTCAGATTTAGCCTGACATGGGCCCCGCACAACCAACCCAGGGTCTCGTCCGCTTGACGTTGAGGTCGTAGCGTGCAGCGAGCTGCTGCAGGACAGTTGGTTGGATAAGAAGTGCTTGGGGGTGCAGGTGCAGGAGGCAATCAACTGTCCAGCCACATCCATGTTCTGTAACTTGTCGCTGCGTGTGAGGATGCCTTGCCTTCAAGGGTGGTGCAGAGTCACACTCGCGCTCAGCTCAAGACCTATCCCAGGCACACTGCTTCGATCTTCAGCAGTCAGCCTATATCAGCCTCTGTGGCATTGCTGTGGTTTTGCTGTTTGGAACTTGGGTCGGCACTCGTGCTTCTGCAGCAAGTCCCCAATAGCCATCGCAGAACAGTCGCATCAATGCTAACGACATGTGGAAGGTTGCGGAGCGAAGAGCAGGCAGATGCCCTAGGCATACGCCCTTGGCATGCAGGCCGGATGCACAAACCACTTCTTCCCACCGTGACCTCTGATGACTCCATTCCCCTCCATCATGCTTCCGGGCTCCGGACGTTAGGCACCTGCAGCATGAACTCAGAAGGCGTCTCTGGACCATGCGACTAAGGGTTCGCATGTCCTCGTACATGATGCCTGGACGAACCTTCTTAAAGCGCAGCATTCCCTTCAAACTCCATGCTGATCATTCTCTGATGGTCAGGCCCACCCTTTGTGAAGGCCGCTGCTTCGCAACGCCACGAGAAGCTGACCCTGCTGCCATTACCAGCGAGGTGCGAAGCATCCGGATGCCAGGGGGCTCCTAGACCCTGTGTGCTGCGAAGGTCTGCAGCAAGCGAAGCAAGTGATCCCATGGATGAGGAGTGCTTGCTGGGAGCTGAGGATAAACGTGTGTATCCCTGAGAGGCAGCAGTCAATGCATGGACAGAGGATGCACACTTTGCCACATCATGCGTAAGATTACCCCGAAGCTGCGCTTGAATCCTGCATTTGCCCTACAAAACTCCGGCAACTCCCAGGCCTGGGCTCAGAGGAGATGTCGAACGCGTTGTCTCGGCCTGTCGTGAGCTCCTGCAGCTGGAATGGGTCAGGAGCGCACCCTCAATGCTTTAAAAGCTAATCGTTCCCCTGGGCGTAGAGTTGCTCCCCCAAATCTGCCAAGCCCTCAGAGAAAAGACTTGAATTAATTCTGTTCTCCGCCCTTCCGTCGAGGAGCGGGCTGCTACCTGGCCGCTTGCGGGGGAAGCGGCTTGGACCAGCACAAGCATTAAGTCACCAAGAGTGGGCTTTAGCGGGCATTGAAGTTTGCATGTTGATACCGGTGGCCGGCAAAGTGAGCAGAACTTGCATCTCGGTTTCACATGCCGCACACGTTGCTTCATCAACGAACTTGTCCATCATGCACTGCCAAGGCTGGTCGCTGCCAGGGCAGCACGGAATCGGCGCATCCGTCTGGCTCAGGTAGGTCCCCGGGAGTTTCAAGGAAATTAGGCATATGTGTAGATAGAGAGAAAGACATATACATATATATATATATGTACATATACATACACGTGTATACATACATACACACACACACATATATATATATATATAATTTCAAGCAGAGGGAGACTCCTTACAGACGGGTGGGTTAAGAGACTGACGCCGAATAAGCACCCCGCCCCCCCTCCCCCCTCCCTCTTTCTTTCTTTCTTTCATTCATTCTTTCTTTCGTTCTTGCTTTCTTTCGTTTGTTCTTTCTTTCTTTCGTTCTTTCTCTCTCGCTCTCTTTCTCTGGTTTAGGGAGCTCGAGATGCGACCGACTATCTCCAGGCGCTGCTGGCCTCCCGTCAGCCAGGCGCTTCAGTGATCTAGAGTTCTGTGGAGAAGTGTTACACAACAAAAACACATGCTCTGAAGATTCTGAAGTGACTGAGTCAAGATTTCGAGCATTCCGCAGTGTTGGTGTTGCACAGTTCAGGATGAGTCTCGTCTGGCCAGTCCGTTTTCAGTCCTGGGACATGTCCAGCATGCGTATTAGCCCCGAGGCCCTCCATGAATCTTTGCGTGAAAAGCAGGAGAGGATGCCATTCACTCAATCTGATGGAAGGAGCCCTGTCCTGCCTTCGCCGGAGACAAGCCGCCTCTTCCGGGCACCCAAGTTGCAGGAAGACGCTTTCCTCGGTGGTGAAATGGTTGAACAGTAGAATTTTCCTGTTCGGATCTGTGCAGACAGTCGCCGAGCAAGGGCATCGTTGAGCTTGAAGCTGTCATTTTTGTTGTTTTTGCCCGTCGCCACTTCGCCCTGCTGGCCGCTGTTGTGTTGCCCGCGACTGGCAAACCATCAGGCTTTTCCACGGAGCTTTGCTGATGGCGTTGCGAGAGGTTGCAGAGGAGGCACACTTGATGCATTGATATACTGATGGGCGTGCGAAGCTAAGGCCGCCTGTGTATTTATTGCTTGTAGGTTTGGATAGATCACGGCAATGCTTGTCCTCGTTGTGAAGTTCACCTTTGGTCTGCAGTAGGGGCGGCCAACGCATGCTAGTAGCGGGTATCAGTATCTGGCTACGTTGCCAATTGCCGCCCTGGAGCGTCACTTCCCAGGACCTGATTGCACAACGCTGCGCGTCGGAGGCGCGGAATGTGGTTTGCGAGCATTTGCGACAACATTGCCTCTTGACTTGAGTTCCGCAGCTGTGCCACGAGGTAGGCCGCACAACACGTGGGAACTGGAGCAGTAGTCAGGACTCAAATTGTAAGCGTATCAAGCTTCGACATCTTCGACGCCTCTCCTTTGGATTTGTTTTTCCAAAAGTCAGACAATGGCGCAAGAAGTTGAGTCTCAGTTGATGCTTGCCTCTCTATTTCGCTGCGCACATGTATTCGTCATATTCGGCTTGACTCATGGAGGCCCAATTCTGTTCCAAGGCAGGGTGTTATTTTTGGGGGACAACTACGGTACCGCTGGGGACACCTTTGACGAGGCTCCTGAAAAGGACTCCCCAAAAGACTTGGTTTGCCACAAACCCGGCACGTGCTTCGTAATATGCTGAGCACCAGGTCAGGTCAGAGTCTCCACATCCATCTGCTTGCCACTGCCTGCCTAGGTACGCTTCAAGCCCGGCATCTTGTATTCGATCTTCAGGGATCCTGATAACCTGAGCTTTCCAGTTCGACGGATGTCTTGCGATCATATTCCTTTCGATACTGTTCGGTCGTGGAGTGATCATGACAAAACCCCCGCACTGTGTCACACATTTTGTGGCTTGTGTTCCCATGGACTAAGGAAGCTTCAGCTGTGGCTTCAGCACGCGGCCCGGACTCAAGCGGCACGCTGGGCACAAGCCTTGTCGCTATCAGGCTCGATGACTTGTGGTTCGGTTCAGGTTCCGGCTTCCTGGGTCCCAGCACATAGGCCACAGGCAGCATGGGAGTGAAGTCTGAAACGCCTCCCCAACCTTAGAGTCCTTAGAGTGACGAACAAGAATGCCCTCCTGCAGGGGCGGTTGGTGACATCCTCGAGGGCATCGGTTCTGGCGAATGTACTTGTGAGAGCGCGCCCTGCCTGGAAAGTTTATACGTATGACTGTACAAACGACCCAAACGACTCAAACGGTTCCCTTATCTTAAGGTGTCTTGGAGACCCGCACAGCAAAGGCTGCAGAGGAGCCTGCTGCAGAACCTGACGCAAACGAGGCCACGCAGGCACAGCCGGCAGATCCTCAGCCGGAGCCGGGGCCTTATCCCGGGAGTCAACTCCTGGGCGAGGAACAGATGTGAGCAGCGGGCGTTATATTCGGTGTGTCTTCAAGGATTCAGCTTTCTGGTGATGTTACTGTTATTGCGATGCTTGGGCATTCAATCAAGTCGGAAGCCTCATCTTCCAAGGACGAGCCAGAGCCCCAAGGAGGTGGAGGAAGAGCAGGAAGAGCTGCGGAATGAGGATGAGGACTTGCTTAATAAAGGAAGAGGCCGTCGCTCACCAAGACCATGCAGTCTGACTACGTGCAGTGTAGGGCTGGGATGCCACGAGACCCCAAAGTCTCTGATTCGCAGCGCTGCAATGGCCTTCACGCTTCTGCGCTGACACATGTCCTTGCAGGAGTCGGGTCCTCGCCAGCAGCGTCTCCATGCGCCTCTGGGAAATTTCTGCTCGAGAGTGGGTCATGTTTGTCTTCATGGCTGGAGGAATGAGGATACACAATCAAACAATATTACAAGCCTTAGCACCCCTTGGATAGCCTCTTGGCACTCGCAAACTGGCAAGGGTGCTCGTTTCCTCCATCGCAAGCACCAGTACTGGCCTGGGCAAGTAGTGTACAGACTTGCCTGCAGGTGGTTAGGTCGAAAATATACCTTCATGCAAGCTAAGGTGTTTTTGCAGTCGCCCGGCCTGCCCAAAGAGCTGCTCGGCGTGTTGCACAGGTCCCCCCATGCGTTCCACACCAGAGCCAAGTTCCGGCAAGCCTTGTCAGGTACATGGCACAGCCCATGTTCTATTCGGGGTGATGACCGGGTTCACAAAGTCGGGATGTTCTCGCACCGTGACCTTTCAATCGCATTGTTGAGTCGTTTTTCCCAGTGCCATGTTCCTGGATACCCCAAGGAGTGAGGCTGCAGCCAGTGCTGGTGCTACAGCGAGCCGCAAAGCTGCACCATAGCTTGGCGGAGTGGCCGCGGGATGGGAGCTTGCCCCCATCCACGTCTCGTTGATGTTGCCGGCCAAGTCCAAAGCCCTGGTGAGTGTGTCCAAGGTGGCGCCTTTCCGCCGTTCGACCCTGCCACAGTTCGGGCGCGTGCAAGCCTACAGCCGCAGGCGCGGAGGGTGACAAATCATTCGGCTGTCGTGGCAGTGCTGACTTTCCGCCGATTGACTGGCCTTATTGAGTTGTGGCGAGGCCTGGCAGTCCCGGGACGCACCGCAGACTTTGCGAATGCTGTCGCTTGGTCAGGCCTTGAGGAAATTCCTTTTCCTTTACAACGTCCGGACCCTTAATGTTCTTGCAGTTGCCTCCCTTTTGCAGCCATCCAAGCCACGGTCATTGGTGTTTTTTGTAGGGTCAAACCTCATTATGTCAGCATTGCTCGATTTCAGCGCAAGATCCCAGCAAGCAAAACTTGAGATATTCTGCAGTTTCCCCGGTGAGGTTCGCAGTTTCACAGCAGGGCCTTATCCGGATCAGCGGCCACTGGGCAGCTGCAGGACGTGAAGTTCTACCAGAGAAGCAGGCGAGACTCAAGCTACATCATATAAACTCGCAGTCTCGTCTTATATCTCGCTAGAAAGAGCTTTTCCGGCCTGTGCCAATCCTTTTCCGCAAATGCGGTCATCAACACCCATGCCTCTTTTGGTGGATCTAGTGAAGACCTTGTTGGTGCGCAAGCCACCCGACAGGCATAAGTCATGCACACTTCGAGATGTTACTGACGTTGAGATTAAAGAAGGGTGCAGCGTCGAGTGCTGTAGAGCGTGGTAGATTCCGTTGACCTTCCGATTCCCGCCATGCAGCGGATCATCAAGCTCGACTAGCTGGGCAGGAAGGTTTTTTACGTTTCGTGTGTCGCCTAGCTAAATGCCAGTTGATCCAGAATCCAGAGCAGGCCCGGGTCAACATCACTGCGAAGGCGGAGGTGGCACCTGGATTGCAACGGCAAAAGCCCTCCTGCTCGATTCAAGCTCGATTCAAGCAGATCCTGTAGCTACGGTCTGGGCGTCCGCATGGGAGGTCCCCTTGTCTTCTGTTAGCTCCATCGCTGCCAAGTCTTTCTGACTGCGCTGCCAGCTTCTGTTTGCAATTTCCCGTCCTCCCAAGGTGCTTCACTGGCCCAGGTCAGCTCGGCCTTCATCCAACGATGTCCAGGCACTGCGGAAGCCGGGTCGTGTTGGGTTTTTTTGTGCTCGGTCCGCATGTCTGCTCTGGAGCAGCAAACCTCCTGCTATCTGGAATGCAGAAGAGTCCCTGGTAGGTGGAGTTCATTTCGCATCAGATTTGGCCTCCGCTCCCCCGCAAGCCAGCTGGGGCAGGCAAGGGCTGATTGTCTCTGCTGTGTCGAATTGTCGAAGTTTGGCCTCAGCACCTCCTTGCGCCAAGAATCTGGTAAGAGGTGCAGGCGGACTTCTGACAAGGCGGAGTGACACCAAACTGCGAACACCATGCAGGAGCCGCCGTTCACCTTCTTAATTAGCTTTGTTGATTTGATGCTTGCGGAGGAGGCGTTTGGGAAGCAGCTGGGTGCAGCAAAATGATGAGCCCTTCGGACAAAAGTACAGCTCGTGATCCGAACATCGCTGGTCCTTGTCAAGCAGAAGTCGAATTCTTTGACTTTGAGATTTGAACAAAAACTCGCGTACTCGCTAGCTTTAGTTCCTGTTGCTCGACGAGCATTGGCTGCTCAGGCTGCGTTGGTGGGAGCGACAAGTGGCAGGTAGAGGATCGGCTCGGTGCGCATGGCTTGGTTGCTTTAATGGCGCAGGGCGTGCTGAAGCCCACCCTACCATGGTGTATACTCGTAGACTGTCAGCTTCGGCTTTCTAAGATTGCGGTTCTGCAGTTGCTGATGCCCTGCAGAAGGCTTTAACTTGTTTCCACTGCAATCACCACCACCAGTGCAACGTTCGTGTCGCGATGGGCACATGACCAAAGATGTTGTTGTAGTATTGAGGGAGACGTTTAAGCTCCGAGCTTTGAGTTTCTGTTGCTCCTCCCAGTGTGTGGTGCATAAGGTGCGGCTCTCAGGTGCAAGAGTGTGCCTTATCGCAAGCAAGTTCTTTCCAGGATGGCTCTGGAGAAGAAGCCCTGCAGCTGTCTCCAACGCGCCCAGCGAAGAGGATCGAATGGACTCGCTGTGGCGCATTCTTTGCAGCTCCCACTCGCATTTATATGGAGACTCCAGGGAACTCTTAGCAACTGAACTTACCTCAAGCCGAACTCAAGTATTGCGGCTAGCGCGTTGCCTACGCTGCTTGTCGTGTGGCTTATAGGTGTCAAGCCGTGAGGGCCGACTTTGGGTGCGGGGGAGGGGAGGAGCGGGGGGGGGGGCAACAGCGTGCGGAAGTCCATGCACTTGTATACTTGTGAAGGCATTACGTCGTTCGGCGCTGGATCAGATAGGTGATTAGGGCAGAGTTGTGCAAGAAGTCGGTTGCCTTATGGCCAGAATCAGGTGGCGTGGAGTGGAGCGCACCTCCCGATGACTCAGGCTTGGCAGCTGGTCAGGAGAAGCATCGGAGCTAAGCGCCGCACATGTATAAGTATCATATGCATGTATACAAATCGATGTTTGCGCAGGCAAAACTTACAGACATGTGGCGGACTACGGGCTTGCCACCCTCAACCACTTGTTGAAGATCTGAAACTCTGACATTACCAATAAACACAGGAAGGATGTGCTGGTTTAGAAGGGCATGACGATGCATGAGGATGTCCCAGCTTCAGAGTTTGAGCCGCCAACAGTACTGTGCTTGCAGGACAGCGAGGGTACTGTTGTTCTTCCAACACAGCTCGGGCAAACTCGCCCCCACCTTAGGCGTTAGCTTTGTTGCAAGCGCCCATCGGCATAACGCATGTGCGCATTTGTGCGACTACTCACCAGCCCACGGACCCGATGTCACACCAGCCCATGGGTTCGATGTCCCTTATGGCTGAGGCTGGTCCCCACCGGTCGCTTTGCCGGCTCTGGATCCTTCACAGCAGCAGCAGTTCCAACCGAGGCTGTGGCCAGAGCCTCTGCATCTTGAAAGTTCTTCCCGAGCTTAGACCTCTTGTTACGCAGAGCTGTGCTTTACGGCAGGCATCTTCCAGCCGCCAGCGGCAACTTGTCACCAGTTTCATGCCGGTCTGCGCTGGTTCAGTATGAAAAGTTGGGAACGACAGCACGGCTGAGAGTTATTGACAACTGAAGACATGTGTAGAGTACCCTGGCAGACTGCACCGTCCGAGGCGATCTCTTTCAGGCTGTCGGCCGGAAGCTTGCTTCGATACAGGCGCCTGCTTGTCCTTGGTTGGATCCTTTTCCTGAGGGGGGGGGAGTTGTGTGCAAGGACCCCGATCTTCCTTTGAGTCCTGCTTCATACCTACTAAGCCCTACTACTTGTCGTCGTCAGTCCTGCCAGTTCTGACAAAGCCAAGCTTGCGATTGCAAGTCCGTGGCAAAGGCCGGAGGCTGCGTGGGTCTCCTGGGGCCTATCGCCAACATGGTGCCGGACAGCCTCAGTGTTGCTCCTGGTGTCGGCAGCAGTGGTATTTGCACTTCAGGGGCTCAGGCGAAGCAACGCAAACTGAGCATCTCGCTGTCCCTGCTTGAAATTTAGTGGAGAAGCACCAAGTTGTGCGACCGACTTATGTTGCCGAGAAACTGGGGATGGGAGTGCATATGTGCTGGTCTCCCACCAATGAAGACGCCAGCCCTCTGCGTGCAAACGTAACTGCAGGCAGTACTTTGATGCATAGCTAACATGCGGGCAGATTTCGAGTCTCACTCGCTGATTGCAAGCGCAGGGCAAGCGCGGAGCACCAACGAAGCTAACAAGGGAAGGGATTCCGACTGGTACTTGTAGTGCTCCAGAAGAGTCAAGTGCTTTGGCAGATGGCATGTCGTGGCCCTGCCAGGAATCCACGCCACTGGACGAAGAGGCTGCTTTGCCCGGACGGTGTACTTTCCGTCCACGCTATGTCCGCTATGTTTTGGTTTTCGGCTCTCGCATGGGTCACGCTTGTAGGCAACGTGGACGGTAAGCGTGCCCGTTGTTGGTTCCACCGTCCAACATTCTGCACCGAGAGAATTGTGTAACGAATTCGATACACCGGAGACTAGAGGATTTATGCAGGACCTGTGTGCTGTGGCACATTGGCCTGTGCAGCTTAGATTGGGAGGACAGACAGAGTCAGTAAGGATTCTTCAAGTACTGGACAACAACTGCACCACAATCGTGACATGCCCTCTGAGGTCCTTTCTGCTGCAGTGCAAGCTGCAGCAGTTGCCGCCTCCGCTGCAGCTCACGCACCAAGGGCGGCGCTGAGGGCGCTGGAGGTGCGGGAAGTAGTTAGCTGCAACATGGCATTTGCCAGAATTGGAATGTTGCAGAACTGTAACCAACAACCAGGGTCCAGCATTGTGTAGACGAAAACAGGATGTTTATGCCCTCTGTGATCTTGCACGCGAGGTTGCACTCAGACGAAACCCCCAACAGCTTGGCGCTGCCTTCCTGACTGCACTCTATGGTGGCACAGGAGGTTTGGCACAGGCAGCGTGGTGCGGCAGTCGCGCTGCGGGGGGCAACAACCTTGTAGTAACCGCTGTTGTGCATCGATGTGGGAAATGTTCGGGTCTGGCTGTCCAAATGGCGGTTGAACGGCGCAGTCGTACTAAATTACTAGTAGCTGGCAAGCCCTTTCCAGGCAGACGTGTTGCGGCGGTCTTGGCTGATGGCGGCTGCAGCCCGGAAGCTCCTCAAGCAGAAGCGTGCCTTGCAGGTTCATGTTCTCTACTCATGACAGTGCAGACAGCCGTGCAGACAACTGCGCTCGAGAGTAGAGTAGCAGCATCTGGCAGGCGGAGCGCGAACGCGGCCAGTGCCCGTGATGCACTGGATAAACTATGAAGGACCTGTACTCGTATAGGTTGTATGAGTATTTGGCCGCAACCCAAACAAAAGCAAAGTGAGCTCGCTCAATTGTTAGCTGTGCTCTCTTCCCTTTGTGGCCACACCTCAAAATATTCAAAGTGATCCTGTTTAGAGTATACCCCCACAAAGCGACGATAAAGAAGACCTACAAGACCCCGAATGAGAGCACACGAACATTCCATACCGTGCGCGCCTGCTTTTGCGACCACCCTGCAGGTTCGACGCCGGCAAGCTGGGAATGCTCTCGGAGCAGTTGCTTTTCTGGACGGCTAGGGAGCGGAAGCGCTGGCTTCGGACCTCAGAAGCTTGGCCTTGCTGTCCGGTTGTTGGAGGTTATGGAGTGGAGGGTTCCAGGATGTTCCGCAGTTCAATGGAAGTTTGCCCCGAGCCCTGCTATCCAGGAACGTGATCGAATGGGGCTGACTTTTCTTGGTGGCACCACCAGCCAAGCTCCTTGACCAAACCATGCGCACAGCGCCAGCAGCGGTTGCTCCATGGTTTTTATTTGCTTGCGGGATTTTGCAGATGTGACAGAACAAGAGCTTCATGTTGTCCTGCGTGCTTGATCTTGCAGCTGGCGGTGAGCTGGTCCTTCCCGCGATTGACACAACTGCCGACATACCAGGCATCAGTCCAAGACATGCCATTGGCTGAGGCCCCTTTCTGGGGCATCTTGGACGTGGGATCCAGCAGCACCAGCCCGGCCAAGTCGGCCAAGTCCGGCCTAGCTGCCTAGCTGCATATGGCCCAGAACGCTGTAGCCAAGAGAGGTGGCTATCAGACTATCAAAAGCTAAAAAACGAGTATGAATTTAGGACCAAACCAAAGTCAAGGCAGGATTAGACAGCAACACAATTCTGCAAAGAGGAAGTGGAGCCGAAAGAGACCTAGGAATGAAGGAAGGACGGGAAGGAAAGGAAGGAAGGCGGTAAGGAAAGGCCAGACACAAAGACAATATATATATATATATGTATATATATTAAATCAATAATCGTCTATACGTGTGTACATACGGAGAACTGGATGTCATAAGATTTGTCTATACGTGTGTACATACGGAGAACTAGATAGCATAGGAAGGACATCAAGAAAGAAAGGCTGCCGCCAGAAAGAAGTATCGAGAAGCACATGAAGACATGGAGAACTTCCCACCCGACCCAGCCTCCTCCCCTGACGCGAGGAAATTCAATGAACATCTCGATATCTTAGAGGCTTCCTTGTTTAATAGCTAAACAAAAACGTATTGGTGGAATTGGGGTTTTGATTTATTGTTGACCCTTTCTAGACTTGTCTTTGATACCTGGATTTGATTTGATGCTACACGTTTGATTTGTAATCAATCACCCTGCCATAACTGCTGCGCTTGCTTCTACGGGGATCTTCGGTGTACGTATGTCTTTTGCGCTCGAGCCAGTTGCGAAGGAGGTCTACAGGAGATCGGTCAGGCGTTCGTTAGGCAGAAACCCAGAGCAAGAGTGAATGGGCAGAAGAAGTGGGGCATGGCACATGGCACGTGCAAGGATTCCACCGTTGAGATGGAGCTGCAGGACATGGATGCAAGCTTCTTGGCTGGGGAACGACACGAGAGGAACTCCTCAGAACCGCCACCGTCACGCTACATGACGAACAGGAGGGTAGCCTGCCCATTTTTCAGCTTGCCCGTCTTTGACACAGAACTGATCGTGCATGCAGCATGCAAGGATTTGGTGCGTGCTTCGCAAGGGGCAGCGGGCAGAACTGGGTGGACCCCGAGACCGTGCACAGGACAGACACCAGCGACACCAGTTCGGATGACCAATGACTGCGGAAGATGGCACTGGCAACGTGTCATGTCGACAGGTGGTGTGACAGAGGTGTGACGATCCGGAGTGCTTAGCATGTTCGCGCCCGCTGTTGGGAAACAAGCGTGGCATCTTTGCGCGAGAGGAGCCCAACAAACGCGACAAATGGGGGCGGCTGCCAAGGCACACAGCACTGCATGGTGCCAGGGCTTGCGCCTCGACTCATTCTTGCAAATGACAGCTGTGGCGACCTTGGCGCCAGGCACATCCGGCGACCGTGTGGTTCCGTTCCACTCCAGCGCCTCCGCGCAGCCCATGGCCGCTGGGCTTGGCAACAAGACCTTAACCGCCCTTTCAAGAACACCCACAAGATTGGCGCATGTCAACTGTCAGAACAGTTTCGCACAGTTACGGCACATAGATCCAGCGACAGGTCGTCACAGAGGTAGATGCCTCCGACGAGTTCCACTCCAGGCCAGCACCTCCACTATCGAGAGGCCGACGGGCTTTCGCGCTGCTTTCTTTGGCCAAGTGAACACGAGATACCACGTGTCTGCTTGCATACTTCGGCGGACACCAAGCTGGTCAGGCTCCACCTGTCTTGTTCAGGTGTTAAATGGCAAAGCAGCTGGCAAGTTGCTCCCCAAAGTTGACTCGGTTGGATGTTGCAGTAGAATGGGATTGGACAGTCCGTGCCCTGCGTCTCGTGAATGCGGCGTGGGAACCGGGGAACTTTGTCACACCCGTGTGCTTGTAGGCCGTGTGCGTACTGACGCAGGCAGCGACCCTGATGCGCCGGAGATGGACAAAGCAGAAGGCGTAGCTGAACCCTGCACGATCCTGCCTTTCATGGCTTAGCCTGGCTTTGATTAGCTTGCAGCGTAGGCTCCTTCGAAGCCCGGCAAAAGATGGCCGCCGACTTCCTCCAGAAGGCGAACGCGCAACACGCCGACATGGCTGAGCGGCTCGACGATTTGCTGGGCTTTAAGCGTTGTATGGCGTTTTTCTTATGAAATTCGCTTTGTGAACTTGAGAGGCTGCATCACGAACAGAGTGCTCGGAGTTTTCGTGCCGAAACAAGATGAGGGAGAAGCCATGCCTTAGGCTGGAAAAGATCCTGGAGGAAGCCAGACAGGGCTTCTGGGACGACAACTTGTGCTGCTATTGTGTTCAATGGCGCGGCAATGCAGATGTATTGATCATGAAGGTGTTGAAGCCGGCTAGGGTCGTGGCAGGGCTATACGGATGGGTTGCATAGATCACGTTGCTGGAACGGCGGCTGAGGTGCCGTGGCATCCACTGAGCTAGCGGCAATGCAGAAGGCCTTCGAGCACCTCATGGCCCTCCAGAGGCCGAGAACTGCGGTCCTTGGAGCTGCATCCTTGCTCCTGCCGTGACCGTGCTGCCGTTCCACTGAAATGCCCTAGAGCAGGGCTGCGCTTGGCCTGCTCGAGTCCATGCAGAGTGGAAGCATCAGGCACGGAGATGTCCAATTCTGGGCATGGCATGTTGTTTGCTGCATTAACAATACCCGGGCTGTTTTGGCGGGATGGTGTACGTAGAGGGTGGTGGGCGAGTCTGCCTTCAACTCAGTTTCAACTTGCCGTGCTCGACTTGTGCGGCGACTTGAGAAGCCGTTAACCCTGCCATGTCCCAAAGGTCAAACGCATAAACAGCCCATGCATGGTGGCAGACAGGCAGCTGGAGTCTCGCCTCAGCATGGCTCGTGAACTGGGTCTGGCGCCAGATGCGTTTGCGGATGCTGCAGGCCAGTGCCCGGCGCGCCTGAACAGCTCCGTGCTCCTTAAGTTGATAACGCTCAAGCTTTGCCGTGTTTTGCCAAGATCGGTGTTTCGCAGCCTCGTCTCGGTCATGGTTGTTCCACAAGCTTGTAGCTTCTGCTATAATTAAGTGACAGGGTGTCAGTTGCAATCGGACACAAAACCTGGGGCATGAATTCTAAATTCTCAGCCATTGAGCCCGAGCCACTGGGATCCGCACAGAGAGCCATCATATTTGCAGGCTGCCCTCACCCAATGGACGAAGCTTCTCACGCCGAGCCTGACCCAAAGCCGCTGACATGCGTTCAAGCCACGGGCAGTCCCTCGCGTTTGGATGACGTCCTTGCCACTAGCAGCCACTCGGCAGACGAGTCTGCAGATGAAGAGTCTACCGCCTCGGGCTCCCTGTTGCAAGACAGTTGTCCACCAGACAGCTTGCGGGCAGATCACGATCCTGAAGTGGATGCGCTGTCAAGTTCTAGCGGTGTTCAGGTTTTCCGTAGCCAGTGGGACGATGAAGGGGTGTACTTTTACCAGGCTTACAATGATGAGATTGCAGAGTGGGCAGTTCAACACCAGCAGTTTGGTGGCCCTCGATTCAACCCCACTCGCATGACTTGGATCAAGCCATCTTTCGCTTGGGTCTTGTATCGGTCTGGCTATGGGCATAAGCACAACCAGACACGAATCCTGAAGGTGAAGCTTTCGCATGCTTCGGTCGCTGAGCTCCTGCAGCATTGCCAGTGCAAAACAGGCGGGGGTGGCTCCAAGGGCCGTGTGCAGTGGGATCCAGAGCGCGATCTGATGTCGGGAGATGGCAAGGCCCCTCGGCAGATGCTTCGCCGCAGAGCAATCCAGATCGGCTTGAAGGGTTCGTTATCAGAGCTCTATGTGAAGAGCGTCATTGGCATCGAGGATGTGACTGCGCTTGCCCACCGTGTCCATGCAGCACACACAGCGGCAGACTCAAAGCTTGCGATGTCACAGCTGTTGCCGGATCTCCCGGCCGAGCGTCCGTACGTGCCATGCTGTCCAGAACCGGTCCTTCAGAGGCTGCGCATGTTGCCTGGGGGTGGCCCACTCCATGCCAAACCGAGGGGCAAGAAGCGCTAAGTATTGACTGACCAACTTCTTTGCAGAGGGCAGTTTCACGGGAGGTTCCGGCAAGGGTCTCCTTTTGCCGGCCCCTGAACAGCTGTACAGAACCTCAGAAGCTGCCAAGAAGAAACCGAACACGACTGCTTCCTCCTATTCAGCACCAGCTAGGCAATGCATTACTGTAGCAGGCCTCGGCTTCAGACTCCAAATATGCCAGTACCTCTTTTGCTGCTGCCTGCACGAGCCTTTGTTCATGCTCAAAGCTCACTGCTCACCCCACCCAATACATGACTGCCAAAACCGTCGTGCAGGCGAAGGAGTGTTGAAGCTGGCTGAGCAGAAGCTGGATGAACAGAAGGCCAAGTCTGGGGTGAAAGAATTTGGAAGACCGAGCAGCTTCAGAACCGAAGGTAAATAAAGCTGTGTTGCAGTGGTTGCCCTTGGTCTCTCAGGTGCAAGGCTGAACAAAAGCAGCAAACTCGGGGTATGGATACCTATTGATACCTCATGGCTCCCTTCCTTCCACCGGTCCAGGCAGCGGCGCCAGGATTCCTCGATACTGCTCTGGATGCTTTCGCCAGTCATAGCTCGAGAAAGGGCGTCCTGGGAGTTGGAATGACCCATGGCTGCCTTGAACCTGGAACTTTTGAACCTCCAAGGTTCGCGCCTGTCTGTTGCTGCGCAGCCTTTTTTGAAGCATTTTCTCTGAGTTTTCTTGGTGGTGTCTGCAATGAGTGGGCCCCACATCCTAAGGATTGCGCTACAACGCTGTGTCGATCAGGCACGCGCAGCCAAAGTGCAGGCAGGGCCCTCTGTGTTGTCAGCCGAGGCCTGACCAAATTAACTGGAGAATTTACAATCATTTCCAAAGCCAGAAGTGCAGTGTCGTGTTACCGAAGGGACTTGAAACGAAGCGAGCAGCGAGCCACCTCACTTGTGAAAGCTCTTGAGCATCGGCAGGACTCCACCAAGCTTCACCGAGTCGAAGCAAAGCTTCACCTGCTCCTCTGTCCGGAATACCAGTTGAATACCAGGGGCTTTCGACATGCATTTGGTCATTTGCTTGCCTTGCATCTCCGCAGCTTTTGGGTGAAGCCGTGTCTTCGGCTATAGCATTGCGCTCCCATGATTGACCTCCCGGTCCAAGCATCGCATGGTCAGTTCACTAATTTTGCGGTTCCTTTTTGGGTATCCTAAATATCCCACTGGGACCTTGAAGTAGAGAATCCCCCACATGACTTAGCTGAACTTATTGCGCTTGTTGAGACATCTTCAGGCTCTGCGAGCGAAAAAGGGAGCCACTTGGCCACATATGTGCTTCAGCACGCAACCTGCCAAGAATTGCAATCCTTCACAACGCGTTTCCGAGATTCCATGGTTGGTGAGGTTGAGGAGTCGGGTTCAACAGGTTGGAGGCATTACATGTACAAACCCGGATGTCAGGATTGCACTTCTAAAGGCGGCGATGGCGGCGGAGGACAGTCCGGGGTGAAGCATCTTTTATTAACGGATGAGAAGCACAGGTACGTAGCAAAGACGGTTGAGACGCGAGCTCAGGAGTTTCCACTTGCTAGGGGCCGTTGCTGTTGACCGCTAGGGTGTGAAACTACTTGGGAGGTCTGTCAAAGCATGCTCAACTCGTCTACTTGAAGACCTTGTGCGGGTACTGTAGCATCCACTGGCTCGAAACCTGGGCAGTGGAGTTAGGCTTCTTCAGCCATGTCTCGCCGCTGCAGGGACCGAAGCCGGAGCCCTCGCAGGGCGGCACGAGCACCCGGGAGCGCTCCTGGGAGCTGCGCACTAGAGGCCTGCAAAGATGCCCACAGATGGGCGGCATACGAATGCCACATGAGCAAGCCCACTTTCAAGGCAGAGGCGTGCCAAGTCCGCACGCGCGTGATTGCCGGTCACGGGCAATGTCGAACATTCATATTATGTGAACAGGGACGAGTGCCAAAGAGCACAGCACGTGCCAAGGACGGAATAGAGACCGCCCAGGCAGCAGTCACCGTCCGAATCAATCCGCATCACAACTACTCCTCGATGTGGGGACAGGTGATGCACATGAGCGCCCGGGAAGAACGACAGGGGCACGGAAGCAAGCTTGTGATTGCCATGGAAGAGTTCCTGCGCCAGGAGGGTGTAGACACTGTGGTTGCCTACCCTGCGGCAACGAGGCAGGCCATGCACTTCTGGACTAAAATGGGATACGCAAAGCAGCAGCAAAGCTTCCTGCCTGATGAGGAGCTGATTCCGAGACGGGAGGGAGGTCCACTGTGGCCAGAGGTCAGTGCGTCCACCGAGCAGCCCCTGGAGCGCTGGGAGAAGAGGCTATCGCTTGGCCAGTTGCGACCTCGCGATCCAAAGGATCAAGAGAAAATCAAGACACGGCCAGGTGGCGATGGCCGCATGTACCGTGAGCTTGTGTGGAAGGCGAAGGATCTGAGGAGGAGGAAGGCCGCTGAGGTGACTCTGACAGCTTTGGAACTACAGGCGTTGATGTCACCGCCGGTCCGCCGCTTGCGCGGCAAGCAACGTTCATCGGGCAATTGGTGTTCGAACGGGTGAGTGGCTCAGAACATGCATGCAAGTTCCTTTGAAGAGCCAGAGGCACTCGCAGTTGCCTGTGAGGGTGTGGACCTAACTACCAGTATCAGAGTTTAGTAAGATGTTTCTCGAGTCGGTTGCAACTGCGTCGTGTCATGCGCACGTCTGCCAGCATAGGGCAGGGCAGGAGTCGGGGGCACGACAAAGGTCATACGCGGTTTGGGGGATGTTTGGGGTGTATTGTTAAGGGCCTGTTCCCAATCCTTGGTCGCGATATGCCCTCTCCTTGTGCTTTGGATTCACCCCGGCCCGTGCTCCCGACACCTGTTACCAGCTCAGCCATCATCTATGAATGCCTCAAGATCACGACAGGTGCTTGTTTTGAACTTGGGTGGAGAGAGAAGGCCTTTTGGCCTATCACCTGCGTCTTGTGAAAAAAGAACGAACAGGAAGGACTTCTGGAAAGGGTTGTTACTGTATCAAACGATTGCTGAAGCCCCGCGTGTCACACGGCATGGCCATCGCTGTAGCCAGATAGCACCATGACTTGTATCCGGCCTTATGCCGCCAATTTTCTTGCATCATGGTTGTGCTTGGGAAGGATGCCTGGCTCCTGAAGGCTGCGACGGAGGTTCCGCAGATGGGTCAATGTGTTGAACCCATGGCTGTAGGCTGTGTGATGGCTGTGTGAGTACCCTCTTGAGACACTACGACCCGGAAGCGTCAGCATCATCAGCAGGAGTGCCGCCAGCGCTTCGGAGAAGTGACCTTTGGCGTCTTGCCAGCAAGTTCTTGAGCGTCACGCAGGCATGTGCCATGCCTCCACCCTTGCCCTTATCCTTGAATATCCTTGATGAACGTAGGTTAGGGAAGGCCCTGCATGTCTTTGTCTACCTGCACGTGCAGAAACCTGTGCCCCTCACCCCCAGACTGACCCCTTTCGGCAAGAAGACCCCGAGAAGGTTTTTGACAACAAGCACCTTCAGCTGTAGCCACGAAGCTTTGTTCCCTTCCACGCAAGGTGTGGACCTGACGTTGGCGAAGTGCCAGCTCGAGATTTGGGAAAAGGCTGTTGCGATGCAAGCTTCTTGGACGAAGAAGGAAGAAGACGCAGGGTTGCTTCAACCAGCTAGGCTAAACGAGGGGAATCAAACAGTGCGGCACGCAGAATTTCAAAACGCAGCGAGGCGAAGCGCTGTTCAACGTTCAGTTGGGCATGGAGAGCTTCGTGCAAAAGTATGATTTCAGTTGTTCTTGCCTGTAACTATGTTGGAGAAGGACTGGTTGCCCCAACTAGTCTTATTTAATGTGAGCTTGAGAAGAACCCTACGCAGAGGCTGCGGGAGGTGGACATATGTACCTGCTTACAGTCCGGAGGATTCCGGAGGGTGGCTGAGCTGGATGCTCGATAGATTGTGGTGAATTAGTTCCAGCTGGCTGTTCGCTAAGCGTCTACGGATAGCAGCATGATCATGTCGGAACTGGTTGTGAACGGTTTTCGTGAAACCTTGGCGCAGCAGTGTCACTCTGATAGGTTCTTCATCTGAGAGCTTAGGCTTTGTTTCCGCATCGATGTATTTCATGCAGGCTGCAGCGCCCACCGGTGAGACACGCAGACCGAGCAGCCTCAGGCATGCACGGCTTGTTGGAGCAACTTGCAGTCCCCACTACCAGCAGCCACAGTTCCTTGTGAGGCTAGCCTCCCAGCTGACTGCCTGCGAGCCGGATCTGGAACGATCCGATGTTCTCTCGCCCCTAGCGGCACCGCCATCGGCCTCAACATCCTCTGCATACACGGCAGCGCCCGCTGCGCCCCCACAGGAGGCTGCAAGCCCAAATGGTAAGCCTTCACCGCAAACTGGCAAGGACTATGAACTTGTCTGCAGGAGGGCGCCGTGATCGCCCTCCGTGCCGCCATGTTCCAAGAGCCTCTGCAGGTCAGGATCCGCCAGTCACGTGTGTTGCTGCCAGCAGCAAGTTGTGAAGCCAACTCGAACTGACAGCGGCAGCACGTCGGAGTTTGTTCTATGCGCAATACACGGACTTAACATCAGTTCTGTGTACGACACCTTCGAATCATGTTTCACATGGGCTGCTCTCCTATACCTTTGCGCCCCGTGCTTTGGGAGGCAGGTCTCTTGCGACTAGCTATCGCTCGAGCACGCCGCGCGGGCGTGGCCAAGGAAGAGGTCATCAAGGCCCGTCCAGCATGGTGATGCTAGCAAGAATTTTCGGAGCGGCTACCAGAAATAGTTTGAACAGAATTGCTGATGTTGCTCTTTGTTGTCGGGCCGTATTACACCATAATCAATGCACAAGCTCTCAAGGAATTCAGGGGGTCACTGTGCTTGTGACGTTGACCATTGCCAGTTATGCGTGCTTGTCAGTTCTATGCACACGTCTGCTCGCATAGGCTGAGGCGGTGTTGCAGGAAGAGCGAGAGGCCTGCCAAGTTCGGCTTGTCAGCTGTCATCCGCATGTTGCAGCTGAGCAAAATCACGCGGCTCTCTTTGACAATATATCACGCTACGCAGATGGCGCATGCGTTCTATTTGCGTTCAATTCGAAGGGCCCCCTCGTCATTTGGCATGCCCCAATGGGTTTTAAGCATGGACTTCTTTGCTGCCCTGCCCAATGGCAGGTGGAGCAGGCTCTTGAGCAGCTCCGCCGCGCAGCTGCAGCACGGGATGTTCGTGCTCTCCGCCGTGCCATCGCGGACTGTGCAGATGTGGGAAGCCAAGTGTTTGAGGCAGAGGGTTCCCGGGGATGACCCCCCAACCCGGGGAATACGTCAGAACGTCTCCGGCACCCCTTGACCAATTGAACCTTTGAACTGATGAAGGTAGAGCCAAATGCATCCCTTACAAACGGGCTTCTCGGCTTCTCCAAGGCCGGTGTAGACCAGCGCCGCTTGATGTCTGCATCAACTCAACTCTGTGATGCTCTTGGCGTGGCTTGTCTGCAAAGGCAGAAAAGAGGAAGCAGAGCAGCTCTAGCACGGATTTCTTAAAATCACTGTGTGCCCTGCATCAGCGCACGCCACCATGACACTCAGCTAAGGAGCTGCTGAAACGGGCACACCAGCATGGGCTCGCTTTGAGTGTGCTGACGGAGTCCTACCTTAGTGGCAGGTTTCATCGGTGCAGTTCCATTTGGGGTTGATGGGCTTCTTCTGATGTTCACCTGGATGATCCTGGATGCACAGAACCAGCACAGAACATGACATCACAGAACCACCGGCTGCGAACAAGCTTCTTTGAGCTCAGGACTTGGATCGCGAAAGGCAGGAGCTGCGCTACAGCCTTGCCGAAAAAAGAAGTTGCTTGGATGCGGCATGAATCACAGTGCTTTAAGTCCGGACTTTTTGTTGTGCTTCTAATTTCACAGACACCGCATTCATAATCTTGCAATGCGTACACACATTGCGTTACCAGACACAGGTATATACATATGTGTATACTAGTGTGTGCATACATACATACATATATATATATATATGTATGTATGTATGTATGTATGTATGTATGTATGTATGTATGTATGTATGTATGTATGTATGTATGTATGTATGTATTTATGTGTGTATGTGTGTATGTGTGTATGTGTGTATGTGTGTCTCTGTGTGTGTGTGAGTGAGTGAGTGAGTGAGTGTGTGTTGCTCTATGCCCTACCAGCAGACAGATCGCTTTCAGAGACCCCGGATTTCCTTCGAGGTGGTCTGCGCACGGTGTGCCGCGTTCGGCCACCTTTGGCCCCGGAGCTACACTCAGCGCTGCGCAGCCATGCGGGCCTGGCGCCAGTTCTGAGGCTGGGCAGGCTCAGAGGCGGAGAGAGAGAGAGAGAGAGACACGCCTAGAAAAAAAGAAACAGAGGGGCGCGCCCGGCGCGCGGGTGCTCCGCGGGGCTCCTCCAGCCCAGAAGAAGAATGGACAGAGGGGGAGAGAGAAGCAAGACATGCGCGTGTCATAATGACTAGGGGGGATTTCATTGAGCGGTCGCGGCATTCGAAATTCGAAGGAAGGGCGTGCACTCAACATCTGCGTCTGGTGCCCGAAGCGATTCAAGGATGTGTTACGCACGTTGACATGCGCCCTCCAGGGCGGCCACTTCGGTGGCTTCGCACGCAGGAAGGAAGGAAGGAAGGAAGGAAGGAAGGAAAAGATGTGTAGCCCAGCAGGACACATGGGTTGAGGTCAGGGGCTTCATGACGTCAAGGTCAAGGCACTCCGACATGCGCTGTCGAGATGAGTATGGAGAAAGAGCACAAGAATTCGTGTTCTTGTTGCAGTCTCAGGCGTGTGGACCGCCGAACTCTCGAGGCTGCGGGAAGGAGGGTGGAGTTTGCCGGTCTATCATACCATACTCGTATGATCTTGGGCTATATTGTATCATGCCCAAAGGCACGATGCAGTACGTTGGTGCAGTTGACGTTTGACCGGATGGTCTTGCACGATGTGCGCAGGTTGCCCTGGCAAGCGGGAGTTATGCGACGTGCGATTTCAGCGCAGTACTGGGCCCGGAGAGCACGCAGGCAAGTTGCCGGGCAGTTGTTGGGACCTCTGGGCCGGTATCAGCCACTAGAGCGGATAGCCATGAACCAACTTGGTGGCAAAACCTTGCCGCACTGTCCCATAGTGGGTCCATGCGCACTTGCGTGCGTGTGCGCTTGCTGGGCACAGTTTATTTCTTGGCTGCTTTTATATACGTAGCCACGTCTTATTTGTAGCGCATGCAGACGCGCATGCACTCTGAATCCCCGGCAGGTTGAGGTCTCGAGCGAGCTCCTTGGTCTGGCACAGGCGGCAATCGACGGAGGCAATGTGGCAGCAGCTCGGCCGCCCGATTCTCAACATTCAACATGTCCCATCAAGATTGCTATGCTAGCCAACCGGAGGAGGACGGCCCACCATATGCATGTAGGCCTAGTTGACAGAATTCTGGCGGTTCCGGAGTATTCGTCCAAGGTGACCATGAATAAACATGTTGGATCTGAGCACGGAGCTGCCTGGAGGTTATTGCTT